TTAACGTTTAAAAATATTTAGGAAACAGTTGTTCATGAAAGTCAGTCTGTCAGAAATGTAAATATAGGCCAGACTTCTAACGAACCACCTAAACCGCTATTGAATATCAGTACATTTTATATATTATCATATGCAAGTTATTATATATATGACCGAAATGTTTCAATAAAAATATTCATTTTTTAACGTTTACTGTTGTGAGGAAAATATATATATAGGCACGCACGCACGCACGCACGCACGCACGCACGCACACATACATACATTTCACGAAACAGTTTTTCACATGGTTTCTCTCTACGGTCGTTTAGTTTTTCTAGGTTTCCCATTTCCAACGCTTCTCTATAATCCACGTAAGGGTAAATAATTCTTAGGGCTCTTTTCTGAATTTGTTCAATGTCTTTTTTTTTTTATTTAAACAATATTTAGAAACATTTACCTTGAAAGATAATTAGGAAGGACTGAGTGAAAGGCCTGACAAGCATGTTCGAGAACAGATCTGATACAGGCCCAGTAGAATTTGTTCAATGAGTTAGTATCGACATTCGCACGTTTTAACTGTTTCAGGAGATAAAGTCGTTTGGAAGCTTTTAATAAAAAACTTGCCACATGGACATTCCATTTTAAATCATCAGTAACAGTCATTCCTAAGATTTTTCGGATGTTACCACTTCGAAATGTTTATCATTTACTTTGACTGGTTCGTCTCTGCAAGGGTCTTTCGTAAAATTTATTCTAAGTTCTTTGCATTTTGCAGAATTTAATTGAAATTTGTTATTATTTGACCAATTAGCCACTTGATCAACTATGTCCTGTAAATTGTTATTTTCAGTTCTAGGGATGACCTCCAAAATTGTGGAGTCATCTGCGAATTTCCACATCTTGTTTGTTGAATTCTCTGAAACGCTCAAATCGTTTATCATGAGGAACAACCATGGTGCTAATTTGGTCCCTTGCGGTACCCCTGCCTGGACTTGCAGTACATTGGAATGGCATTTATAATTCAACTTGATTCTCTGGGTACGCTTACGTAAGAAGTCAGTAATCCAATTGGTGACTGATGGTTTAATTCCGTAGTTAATAAGTTTTGTTATAAGAAGGTTATGGTCCACCAAGTCAAAAGCTTTCCTAAAATCTAATAAGGCAACTTTCACCATAGAACCTGTTCCGTCTGTTGCGGCCAACCAGCTATGTAGCATTGAGATAATTGCATGAGTTGTACATGAGTTAAGAATAAAGCCAAATTGATGGGGATCTATTTTCTGTAAAATCTTAGGTTTCAAACCCTTACATTACAAACCCTTCCGCGATTTTGATAGTGTAGACGTCAATGATATTGGTCTCAGGTCTTTGTTGAAATCAGTTATGCTCGATGTTTTAGGGATGGGTGATACGTCAGCCATCTTCCATGCCTGTGGAACCGTACAGTTACGAAATGAACAATTTAAAATATCTGTAATGGCTGGAGCTAAGATATCAGCATATATTTTTAAGATATCAGCATATATATTTAATACCCAATTTGGAAGTTTGTCTGGACCATTTGCTCTGGATATACTTATTTTGCATAACTTCTGCTGAACAGATGTCAGGCTAACTTGTATAGGGTCATCTTCCTCTTGGGTTACATGATCATTGTCTGTTAAAGGGGTATAATCCTTTGTGACACTAATAAAGGCTTTGTTTATCATATTAGCTAGTACTTGGTCAGAACAATCGTTGTTTATCCTTAGGATAGAGCGAAGATCTTTACGGCTTGTTGTTTTGCAGCCACAGAGTTGTTTTACTTCGTGCCACCATTGACTAGGCTTAGTATTTTTGAGATCCTGCACTTTAGTTTTATAATATATCTCACGGCATCGTTTTATTTCACGATTGACTTTATTACGTAGGAGTGAAAACAAAGGTTTGTTACCCGTTGCAAATGCCTTCTGTCTTTTATTGATAAGTCGTTTCAAATTATTTGTCATCCACGGACGGTCAGTAGCATGCACTTTGATAGATCTTTCTGGCATAATAGTGTTCAGTCCATTGTTTATTATGTTTCAAATGGAACGTTCTGGAAAAACCAGCCAAGACTAGAGATATTACTTCTTTTATCACACACTTTTATTATTCGGACACTGACTTTTGTCGTATAGCCGGGAAAATAGTGATTGTGAGATGGTCGGATAATCCAAATGGACATCTTCTATTTGGAGCCATTTAAAAATCTTGTAAATTCGTAAAAATCTGGTCAAGGATGTTATTGCCTCTTGTAGGAAAGTTTATAATAGGTTTTAGATGGAAGAGCTTTGCTGGGGATTTAAAACAGAGTTTGTTAAAATCACCACCTAGGATTATAGCGCTGTTAGGGTAATTTGATTCGATAAATTCTAATGAGTTTTTAAGATATTCTTTCGTTGAGATATTATTGGCATCGGAAGGATGATAGACAACTGCAGCTATGATATGTGAGAATCCTCGAGGCAGGCGTTTTGGTCACAAAAGGCACCATAAAACTTCGTGATCGTCGTTGTAAAGATCAGTCAAGATCTTACTTTCAATACTGTTTTTTACGTACAAACAAACTCCTCCGTGGAGTCTATTTGTACGATCTCTTCGAAACAATTGATACCCCTTTATGTTAATTGGATCATTTGGAATAGATTGTCTTAACAATGTCTCTGTTATAAAAATTATGTCTATATCTTGCTGTGTTATTGTTAGCGCAATCTCGTTAATCTTTGGGGCTAAATGACATTACATTAGATAGTAGACATGAAGGGACAAAATATAATTTATTCAAACAGGACAAGGAAGTTGTGATTTGGGAGTTATGTGGGACATGGGAAGTGGGTGATTTATCTACATTCCCCAACGTGGTGGGTGGATAGGTGGGTGGACTGGGACTTGCAGTAATGGTTGGGAAGGGTATGTTGTATGTAGCATCCTCAAGGGAAGTGGTTTGGGGTTGGATGGGGCACTCTGGAACCCACCAAAAAAAGCAGGTGGAACAGTTTGGTGAGAGTTAGGTCATGAATAGGTGTAGCGGGGTAGAATATCGTGAGAAAAATCACAGAATGAGCCCTTTTTACTCCTTCCTTTTTTTTGGAAGAAGGGGCACGGTACCAGGTGTTTTGGGAATTATTATATATAGGTTTGTCGTTGTGGAAAAAATGGCACAGGATGGTATGGTATGCTTTGGAGGTTGTTGTATAGAACTTAAGTCAGCGTGAATTGTATTTTTATGGTGTTCTGTGGTTTGACGGCTGTGATCTTGTCTTGTTTATTGCATGTAGTATTCTCTTTATGTGTTGATAAACTTTGTTGATGAATCTGAGGGGTTTTGAGGTTAATTGGACTAAACAGGAACGCTAATGATGTTAGCAAGGCCGTTAATGTTTGGAAACTTGTCCAAAGTGAGATTTTTATTGTTTGCAGCAGTTCCCCGATGATGGTCTTGGTCGAATTATTTAAATGTTGATCATTAGCATTATTGCTAATAGATTCGCAAACTGAGTTTACTTTGTTAGTCGAGTTACAGGTATTGTTCTTCAGATAATTAATAGATGCACTGGGATTTATCATTTCAAGAGATAACAATTTTGACTTAATAAGTGTGTTGTCTTCATACAGTTTATTTATTATTTAGTCCTGTTTACAAATTATAGCCTCTAAATCTTTATGCTTACTGTGGAGGGAATTTATTTCTATGGTCATTTCATCAGGAGAGATTATAGAACCCAAACGCGTCTCGAGAATTACAATGTCTAACTTTACACCCTCCAAATCTGTTACAACAGATTTAGGACCATACCATTTAATGATTAGATCTGAATCATCATCCTTAAAAAGTTTGACGTCGGCGCCGGTTTGTCGATCTACAAGCTCCTGCCACGTTGCTTAACTCACTATATAGGATCAGGAATTTAATCAAAACCAAACCGTACAATGGAATGAAGCGTATAGCACAAAAATGAACTGTAAGAAAAAAAAATACAGTAATGTGCTCAATCTCATGTGCTGTGAAAAGGACAATGAGCCAGAAGAACTACAAAAATTCAACACAGCCACCAAATCGGTTCGAAGTAGATTCCAGATACGTTTATAAAACTCGTAAGGCAACCCATCAATGCCCGGCAACTTATTGTTCTTCATACTATTTAATGCTGACAAACACTCTGCTTCCGAAATATCTCCTTCACACAAAGCAGCTTCAGGATCCGACATGTAAATCCAAGGAATTGATGAAGAAATCCTGGTCCGATGACAATAAAACTGCAGCAGTGAAAAGTTGGACATAGAAGATACACCAAACATGAATGATGGCAGTAATGGAACGTACAACCACACCTTGAGCATTGCGGATGCCAGTGAACAACTTCCAGACACCACAAGTTTTTTCTTGCCGTAAAAAATATGAAGTTGATTTTTCACCTTCAGCCCACTTTTCCCGAGCTCTAATCCTTGCACCATGCGCTGTGCAAGATGCTCTAATTCTAATTCATCATTAACCTCTTTAATAAACCGAGTGACCTCTTCACCATGAGTTTGTCATTTATTCAAGTGAAACAAAGTATTCTCCAGCGATGTAGCAGAAGACCGCCGAGAAGAAGCTTGTTGTTTGGAATACTGACGAATGATTCTTTTCAAACAAGCCTTACCAGCATCCCACCAAATAGCTAGTGAAGGAAAGGATGATTTTTCTCTTTGCCATGATTGCCAAAAATCCTGAACACGCAGACAAAAGTCATGGTCTTTAAGCAAAGTAGCGTTAAATTTCAAAACACCGGCACCCCGCTCAGGCATGGTTGGAAGATTGAACCAAAGAAAAACATAAGAATGGTCAGATCGAAATACATATAAATATCCACTTCGGCAATAGACTCAATTAAACTAGAAGAGACCAGAACATATCTAACCGCGATGCTTGCGAACCATTAACACGACGCCAAGTGTAAGTACGCTCATCAGGATGTTTCATTCTCCAGGCATCCCGCAAATCAAATGCCTCAGTCAGATGTCGCAATGAACGTGGCCAATTGTATGCCCAAGGAGACAAAGGGTTACAACCAAAACGATCAACTGCTGGATTAACAACGGTATTAAAATCACCACACAGAACCGTGGCAAAGAAGCATCGAATTTTGAACCAATTGATTAAAAAAATTCTCTCCTTCAGCTTTTCGATTTGGACCATATACATTAACAAGTTGAAAAGAAGCAGAATCACTGGAACAAACGGAGAACGGTTACCACTTGCAAGCGACCCTGATCATCAAGAACCTCGTGCTCGATTGATAAGGAAGGGCGATATAAGATAGCCAAACCCTTACTGCGGACAGTGCCAGGTGAAGACAGAACCGAATATCGTTCACAATTGTTATCAGCTGCGGACTCGGAGGTAACCCACGGCACAAACTCATCCTGTGAAGTAGAGTGTGTTTCTTGCAGGCACACAACATCAGCTTTAGTACAGTGCAACCAGGAAAACAAAACAGTCTTCTTTGCTGGATCACGAAAACCCTGACAATTCAAAGTAAGTACCAATAAATTATTATTGTTTGAAGTAATATTTGCCATTAGAATGTTTAAAAAAACCAATGTGTTGATGAAACAGTTAATTGAACGAATAAAAATGGCTTAAGCCATGTCCTTACTATCGCCATGACTCTTAGCAGAGCTGGGATCAATGGAATTAAAAAAGCGATCAGTTACTCGGGATTCTTCAGAGGCTTGTGAGTCCTCTGGTACGAAAACTGGATGTCCTTTTGGAGCAGCAGGAATATTGGGCGGAAACTGAGATAATAGAGTTCATGGAATCATTAGCCAAATTCAAAGAATCATCGTCAGCAGGAAAAGGGACAAATTCAGGTAAAATTGCCCCACCCAGATCAGAATCAAAGGATAAATCTTCAGATGCACTATCAGAACCACGATCAGACTCACTGCAATGGGAGGAAGAAACTGCCCCTCAGGGTGATTTATCCCTAAGACAATCTTTTTTAGATATGGGAGAGGTGGATTTCCGATTGGGCGACCGACATCGCTTAGTCCCAGCAAAAGATGGACTAACAGGTCGATCGAGTACCACTGCATCAATAGATGGGTCCTTTGACTCAATTTGGCAGATGCTAAATCAGCATCTGGCTTATTTGCATCCTCGGGAGGCAACCTGGCAGAAGTGCAAGCACCGCCAGTACATATATATAGCCAACCTGTCTGGTGTTGGGTCGAGTTGTCTTTCATTATTTGCGTGGTGGCAGTGTTATAAAGAACCCAAGCCGAGTAAAAGTTCTCAGGAAGCCAGCTTTCAGGTACATTATGGCCTCGAGTATTCTTGCACCGAAGCAGTGGTGTTTGACAAAGACAGAGTCGATTAATTCTTTCGAAAGCTGGAAGCAAAACTTAGTGTATACACTATCTCTCTGTGCAAATTTCACCCCTTTCCTCGTTGAAGGGGCCATGTGGAAAAAGAAAACTAAGACAGAACCTTTAAGAGGGTTTTGCTAATGATGGGGATGATGTTGCCCAGGCTCAACGCCGTACAGCACAACAAAAAGTTAAGAGGCTGTCTCTGTAAGAACCTGGCACCCAGTTCTGGAAGGAAATATGAAAGTTTTCAAATTTTTCACAATAATTTTCCTTTCAGGTACTTGTATGAAAAAAGAAATCGGTTTGCGTTAAAAAGTTTTTTTTGTAAAATTTGGCCCATCGATATTTTACACCTTGACGGGTCCAAAATGGCGGCCTGAAACTGCCGTAAATAGCAGATTTCGTACGACTCTCGCGAAGCAAGTAGGTAAGTGAGAGTCTTGTGTATCAAAATATTTTAACAATCAGTGGTTATAGTTTCTTACAACAAAAAATCAGGAACATCTATCCAGGATTTGAGAAATAATTTTCTGAAACGATACACTTTTACTAGTTTGCAAAGTCGCACATTATAAGACAAATTAAATAGCAATTTTCGTAAGTTTGGCACCTTATACCAAGTACACATTACTACCATTGTGAACCTAGAGCTGTGTTTTTTTAACGGAAAACGTAAAATATTTGGGCACTTGACGGGCATAGCCACAAATCATCTACAAAGTTTGATAATTTTCCTGTAATTGACGAGTGACGACGCATGCGTTGCTAACGTAATTTTTCTTGAAAACTCTCACCCAGCACACCCAGCAACATTGCTGGAAAAAATAACTCAAAAGTCAACTTTTATTTTGCTTTTGTTTATTAAACGTTTCGCAATTAATACGCAAATATTTTTTCTGTCGCGCTTGGTCATTTATTTTTCTATTTATTTTTACCGGTGGTTCCATGTTCATTGCAGGCAATTGATAAAACTAGAATAGTGAAGCGAATAGTGCGAATAGTGCGAATAGTCGACGAATAGTACGAATAGTCCACGAATAGTACGAATAGTCCGCGAATAGTCGACGAATAGTACGAATAGTCGACGAATAGTACGAATAGTCAGCGAATAGTCGACGACTAGTACGAATA